TAAACTATTTTATTCTAGAATACACTTTTTCTCCAATTTTCAATAATTTTTGATTCCGGGAAATGGATTTTCTTTATTTGTACGATAATATTTCTTTGAAACATTTATTGAATTTGGAAAAAATTTATAAAAAAACTATAATTAAAGTCAAGTTTTTTTTTTTTCGGGATTAGAATCGGTAACAATAAAGTTTTGTGTAACCCAATAAACTTTTTATAGATAAACAACGAGTGTGTGTTTAATAATTTTTTTGTGAAATAGCTGAAAAAATCGCATACATATAAGAATTAATATCTTTAAGCTATAATTATATTAAAAATGATTGTAAGAAAGTAAGTAATTGGGGAAAATGAAATGAAAAGTCAGCTAGCAATAAAAATTCTAACATATTAAATTAGGTTTCTGGTGAGTATTTAAAAGTTGGGTAAACGTTTTTCTATTGATAAAATTGGTTATATTTTTTACATTATCAATAATGTAAATATACCAATAAATAGTTTAATAAATTTAGGTTAAAAAACAAAAACTGAAAAACGCCAACAATAGTTGTGTCGTAAGCGTTATAATAAGTAAATGTTTTACAAAAATTACTTTTTAAAGTCGGACAGATTTTCTTAAAAGCAATGGACCTCACTAGCAATTATTAAAAAGTAATATAAATGCGGAAAATGTTGAAAAATATTTAGTCTGAGAAGTATTTTAAAGTAAGAATTTTAGTAAGGAAAAAATAAATTATTTTTATAGTGATACTTTTTCATTATATTATATTTTATTTCCGTACATAACACTCTAAAATGCCCCAGGTTTTTTGAAAATTATTATGAACTAAATTAAGTTGTAAACAACATTCAAATATCTCTACGTTCTTTAAAATATATTAGTTTTCATAATAACAATAACTGAGTTGTAGAGTAATTTTTAAATGCATAATAAAACGTCATGTTGCGTACCATTTTTAGTTGAGCTGAGATGGTATTGTTAATACAATAATGTGTTTTGAAAAGTCAGCCTAAGAACTTATGTGTTATAAAAGAGAACATGAAAAGTATATCGGTGTACTATTTTGAATAGTTACAAGTATGTAAAAAAAATCAATATACAGTATATTTGAAATAGGAAAAACGTGCAAGTCAAAAGAAAAGCTATTTCAAATGTCAATAAAAAATTATACATCTGGAAAATCGCAAATCGCAAATCGCATTTCAGGTTGTTATGTAATATCAATTTTGAGTTCGATTACTTTTCGAGGCAATGGCAAACAAATGGAATTTGATCGGCATTTTAAGGTTTCTGATTTGATAACAGCTCATTAGACTGTGAAATTACGTTCGAGAGGGGTTTATTCAACGGTGTAAATGTCATTACCATCGTTGCACTGGTCCTACAAATATACCGTACAATCCGTTTTTGCTTTATACTCCAAGAAATGGTGTCCATTGAACAGGAGCATAGTTAATATCTGCACCTTTTATGGGTCTAAAATGACGACCAGTGACAGTTTTTAAAGAAAAACTAGTTAGGACACTAAACATAGCAGTTGAAAGTTTCAACACAGACTATAATATAAAAACGGGCAGCTCACTCGGCATGTAAACAAAAACCATGACATGACATGATTCAAAATGAAATAAATATGACCGTAGACTCAAGTATACAATTTTATAATATATCAGATTAAATAAAAATAAATTATAATGCGATAATATAGTCAGTTATCTTATGACTTTTTTATCTTATGGTTAATAAGGAGTTTGTACAATAATATTGTAAAATATCAGCACAATAGTTTATACTAATTCATGCGACTGTACTGTTACCTTCGCATCTCTCATCAGTCTTTTAAAAAATATCTTATGTTGTCATATAGTCTGTGGTTTCAACTTTCATCCGTAATTAATATGATAAAAAAAGTTATGAAGAATTAAAAACTATAAACCATAGATTTAATATCATAATATTATGAAATCATGAATAAGTGGATATGCTAACATTTGAGGAAAAAAAACATTTAACGATACAATTTTTGTTAGATCAGATTAGATTTGGTTAACGACAAAGTCGGCTATGATTTGAAAAATCCATAGAAACATTAGTACAGGTAAGTATAAAAGTTTGATCCTCAGCACGAACCTTCCTTAAAGGGCCCCAAACACGATAAAACACGTCGTGGTTAAAATCAAGATTTGACAGATGTAAAAACCGTCGTGTTTCGTCGTCGGGTTTTGCCCATACACTTCGGTTTTAACCAACCCTTTAGCTGTTCTAAGCGAGCAAAACGTAAACACTAGTTAAACTCGATCGATATACAATTTATTCGAAATCATCTGATATCCTCTGAGTCAATTAACATAAGTAATCCATTTTATTAATTAATTTGTTAGTATTTTAGGCAACATAACTACAAAACTATTAGTAAATGACAAGAAAATACTTCTTGGTTAAACATCTTATAGACATGCCTACGCTTTATGTATTATACATATATATATATTAAAAAAATCAGATCAAGATGTATAATCAGATGAAAATAATATTATAATTATGTCCTCCCAATTACCAAATAAGCATGGCTTCTGACAGGCGATGGTTAGTTTGAATACTGCAAACTGAATTAATAAGACACTGGAAGTGTTGAGAAATTAAAATTTTGATGTGACTATTAAATTTGATGTTTTAAATAACATTTCGAAGTCGTGTTTAAACACTTTTCATGTTATTTTACGGTTTCTATATCACAGTCTTGAGTGTGAGATGTTTTCAATAGTGGGTTCAGAGTGCCAGGCCGAAACGTTCGTCTGCCACCACTTTACCTACACAGATGGTGCAGCGTGGACTTGTCTTGAACGCCACCGGAACTGGCTGCACCTTCAATTCCTGTCTCTACAAAAGTCAACCGCGGTTGTGGTCTCAAGCGTTTACCCAGAAAGCCGGAAGCAACAAAGCGGTAGTATACCGGATGTCAAGACGCCACACTGTTAGCAAATTCCTTTTCGTGCTGTGCTTTCACAGCTGCTTTGGGTTCCTGCCCGTTGTTTTGGCTTCGACGTTAATGCAAATATGTATTCGATTATATTCATTCTATTAGTTTAGTAGTTTATGAGTCTGTATGTATGTACATGCAACTTAGAATAATTTAACGCTATTATTTAAGTTTTAAACCACAAACAAATATCAGAACGTTTGTTACTTTTTACCGATACAAATATTATGTTGTGTAGTAAAAAGTGTATTTTTTTTTTAGGACAGTAAAAAGAATAAACCACATAAAATAACTTTATATATATATATATATTGTATATACACGTTTCAAGTATCTTTCGTATAATTGAATTTTTTTTTAAATATACCTATCTAAATACAATTAACTACAAACCATTTTTTATAAAATGCATAATATTATTATTATGTTATGCAATCAAAACTACAACATAAAATAAAATAAAGGCATGTAAATAAAATATGTTTTATAAATAGTGACATAAACATTTTTAATTTTCATATTATACTATTATCATCATACATTGTGTTTTATTAACACCATTAACAAGAAACGTAACATGTAAAAAAAAAAAAAACTTACTTTCTGATTTATATAACACAGAACTTATCATAATCAAATAAAAAACGATGGTTTATATTTTATAATTTAGTATTTATGAAATCATACTCGTATATAAACTGATACAACAATATTGGGTTAAAAGCATATTCGTGTTAAACTATATTGGAAAATAAGTACACTTTTTAATACTTGTCGTTTTTAAACTTATATAGGTTATGATTCTTAGTAGGACTGAGTTTTATTTAATTGGAAGTGAAATAGAGTATTGGAAACTTTAAACCTAATCATAAATTATCAATATATTTTTTTTATGTTTAAAACAGTGTATCAATAAACCAAAGTAAAACGTATTATTCAATCATTAATGATATGCCCCTTTCTTCGTAAATGTAATATATTTTTTTTTTTTTGAGGACGTTATACCTTCTGTTATCCTAATAATGTATACTACGGTAATTCCGATAAGTAACTATAAAAATGATAAGTCCTAATAATTACATAATGTCAATTTGCGGAAATAGGAAACCAATATTACTTCTGTGAAGTAGTAAAGTAAAAATATTAAAAAATACAGCTTATAATAAATTAAGCTATCATTAAGTATAATAAGCCATAACCAATAAAATTGGATAAACAGAAGATACAACGTCACATACTAAGTATTACCGAGCCAATACTAATTACATCATTTAAACTTTGGAATCACACATAAATAGATCTTATATTAAGTAACATGTATATATTAAAACAATATAAATAAAAAAGTCATTATAAAACGTTTACAGTACAATGAAATGATATGATGTGTTAATCAAATACGAAGTGAAATATATAATGATTGAAGAATTTTGACCCCAATTAAAAAATGTAATCATCATAATTATTGTTTGCAACATAATTATTGACTTACGATTAGGGTACTTCATACATCATTTTCCGTTAATAAATAACCTGCAAAAATCTAAAAAGTACCTTAAAATTATAAAAACCTGAAATTGTGAATTATATTTTAATAATATGTTTTATTCTGTTATAGTGATGGACACACATAGTTAGTGAGTATACACACAAATGGGCACATTCGATAATCGCCACAAAACACTGTATTTTTTTTTTTATAAGATAACAAAATCAATTCAAAGGAAAACAAGAGAAATACATGCACAGCTCTTGTACATGATCTAAGATTTCATTAACGATTTATGCCTGTAAACAATTTAAAAATATGAAAAATAACAAAAAAAAAGTCATACTGTTTTAATAATATGATTTCAAAAAGATCTAAACATTTTTACATTATTAACATTATAATATTCATTCATAGTACTGTTTCAATAGCTTAATTGTCTTTAAATAATGTTTTATAGTTATTTATGCTTAAGAAAATAACAAAAATATTAACACCTATCATCTTTTATAATTAAAATTCATTAGGATAAATAAGTAAATAATGATGTAGTATCAATAATTTCGAAAAGTGGTTTACAAAAATGAATACAGAAAAGTAATTATAAGTACATTATATAAATATCATACATTAAAATGTAATTGATTGTAGTATCGTACAACAGATAAATATAACATTCGTTTTAGCTTATAAATTTAAAATGAATAATAATATAGGTAATCTACTTGCGTCGGTAACTGATTAACTTAATTTTTATGGCTTACATATTACTCAGAAAAAAAAAATGAATACTACTTTGAAACTTCATACATATAGACGAACTATTTTACTAGTGTCAATCATTAATTTGTAATCTTTGGATGTATCTAATGTCTTTGATTTGTTGACGACGTTTCGGACTCATTGCAGATTCATTACAGACATGGAAACATTCGAAGATTATCAAGCTAACAATATTTAAATCCAAGAAAGCCTTAACACATTCATAGTTGTCAATTATTATTATTTTTAGATCGTCAATATCATCTTTTTCTATAAATTGGGTACTACGTAAACTATATAAAATTAAAATAATTAAGTAGGTATCAATCAAAATGATTCGCGATAGTTAAAAAATTACATGAATTATAAAACCTCATATTGTTAAAAAAATAGTAGAATATTATTAGATGTTTGATAGTTAAAGAATCTGGAAACAAATTGTCATTATTTAAAAAAAACTATAAAGATTGTCGAGTTTAGGCTACTGACAACGCAAAGCAAAAAATAGAACAGAACCATTTAATACAATGTGTACTTCTTCATTTCCCTCGGGTAAATGGGAAAACCCATTTACCATATATTCATTATTTTGGACTGTGTCTTTCGCCATTTAATACCCTTTTATTCATAACACTTTAACTTCGTTTTCTAAGAAATGAATGTTATGTGATTAAAGATGTATAATGTACTATTAAAACTGGCGCTTTTGAGTCTTTGCGTCAGTAACAGAAACGATACAGTTTTTTTCGAGATAATTTTGCCTACCCCATGTGAAATTTTTATCCCATAGCGCATTTTGATATTATAAGACTAGCATCTAATAAACAAGAAGGCTTAGTCGGTGTCCGGTCATTTACCCGGCAACATAGTATTCCATAAAACTGTAAACGAAATATTTTTATGGAAATGGAATACAAGTTCTACAAACAACCTTTTACTGTATGGTTTTGAATAGAATTCAATTTTATAGAGCCACGTAATCGGTATGACCAGTGCAAAGCGGCGGCGGGGGAGGTGGAGGAATTTCGTCGGAGGATCCACCACTGATCGACAATGCCGACAGGTTGGTACAGCTACCGGTAGCCGTGATTCTAGGACCCATATTATCGTAGTGTGGAGTAGCAGCTGATTTCATAGTATGATGGTGATAATAATGTGAGTGGTCTGGATCCTTGTAACGATTTTTCCTGGGCATTGTCGCATAATAAGAAGCGGCGGGCATTTGATGTTGCTGTAGGTCAGCGGTGCCTACGCTAACGTTTTGTTTTTGCCTGTGTTTCAAGTCCAGCAAATCGGGATATCTAGATTCTTGTTCCTGAGGATCTTGGCTGACGGAAACGGAAATGAATATATTTCCGAACCCACTAACTGACGGCAGAATGCTAGTTGAGAACTCTGGCGGTGGCGGGTACACGGACACACCGGGGTCGTGGCTCTCGATAGTTATGTGGACGGGCTGTTGGTCACACACAGCCGCCAACGGTATACTCTGCAAAGATTGCTCAATGAGTTCGAGGTCTTGGCACGACGGCGAACCGCCACCGAGGACTTCACAGCTTCCTGCCTGGGTAGTGGATATGCTGGCATCCAATAAACGTTTGTCGGCGTCGCTGAAGCTGGCACTCCCTTTGAAATTTGGCTTGCCGACTCGGCGCCCGCCGCTGCGGCTTACTTTTCTTACGTGGCAAATGCAGCAAGCCAAGCCGACCGTAAACAGCAAGGCCGTGACACTAACCGCGACACACACCACAACTAGGTATACGGATTTAGATTTGCTTAGAGTTGTTGCTACAGCTACTTCAGGTAACACCAAAGACACATTCGTCGACATTTGACCGCGAGAATTTCTGGCTTCACACGTGTAGTCACCCGCCACATTCTCTGACACGTTAGACACGCTTAGCACGCTCCAAATACGGCCTATTTCAAGCAACGTTCGGTTTTCGTCTATCCTGTCGGTGAAGTTTTCTATGTGGTGTCCATTGAAGTACCAACTCACTTCAGGTTCGGGATCCCCGGTTATTTCACAGACAAAAGTCACGTTGTTGCCATTTTCTTCCAGCACGTTGTTTCTATTTATCTTCACAGCTGGTGGACACGCGAATTCTTGGGGCTCGATATTTTCCCATCGAGTGCTCGACAAAGCAGGTGGCTCAATGCATGTTAGCGGATGTGAGTAAAGGTTAGAGGACACGAACCAATTTCGGAAACTCCTCAGTTGACAGTCACATACCCACGGGTTCCCGTCCAAGGAAAGAGTTTTCAGTTTAGATATGGGTAAGAACACGGTTTCTGAAAGTTGTTTCAAAAGATTTCCATTGAGATTGAGCGTTTCCAACGAAGATAAATGTAGAAATGCATCTCGATGAATCCGCTTGATTTGGCAATGTTGCAACTCGATAGTTCGGAGATGCTGCAACACCGGGAACTGAGCTTCTTTTAGTTCAGCCAACGGGTTGCCGTTTAAGTACAACACACGCAGTCGTTCGTTGCCGTGGAAAGTTTCTTGGTGGATTGATCCTATTAGATTATCACTGAGATCGAGCTCTATGAGTATTTTTAGTTCTCGAAAAGCATCCTTGTGCACGTTTCGTATGCCACAACCACGCAAGAAAATGCGTTGCAAATTTAGCAAGCCGACCGATTTAAACGAATCTTCTGGCAGATGACGAATGCTATTCGAGCTCAGATCTAGTACTTGCATATCAGCGTTTAACACCGATGGTATTTCGGTGAATCCTACATCTTTGCAGAGTGCAGTCTTCTTGCCAGAGCTCCACTTACACTGGCAAGGAGCTGGACAGTCCGTCCAGTCGGCGAACGTAGCACCATAACTCACCATCACCATCATGATCAGCTGCATAGGCCGGATACCAGGCATTGTCCGTGCATTTGGTCATCTTATAGTCAGTACGTGCTTCCACATGGAGCTCTTCTGAAACAAAAAACGTTCATTGCATATAAATATAAAAAAATTGTTACGTATGGAAGACTGCTTATTTTTCTTTTGGTTCTATTCGATTTCGTCTTAGCCAAGTTTCACTACATAGAGTGTTGACTTTTTTTTTTAATTTGTTTTAAAAAAATACTGTTTATTTAAAAAAAAAGAAAATGTCCCAAAGTAATAAGTTTGATATGGATTGAAATAAAAAAAATAACTAAAATTCTTTGTAACTAAGGTTCTTGTAATTTAAGTTTTGTCATATTTTATAACCGCGAAAAAATACAAAGTTAATATGTATGTATAAGTTTATTTTTTATATATCTTGCTTAAAAATTTTATACTTAATCTCTAAAGGAAAAAGAACATTTTTCGGAATAATATTAAAAGTTTTAATCGGAAAATACATTTCAACTATAGACTAATAGTGTAGATTATATTTTGAACTAAAAGTGTAATTCGTATTATATATATAGCAGTAAAAATATTTAATCGCCTTAACAGTAAACATCGAAAAAACAAATTGCTTAAAATGGAAGCTAAATGTATATTATTATATAATTTAAAATTGTATATTATAAGTTATGGTGAGTTATTCAGCTCAAAAAACAGCAGAGATTGATATAAAGAAAGTTTGAGAGAGATATAGTGGAAAATAAAGAGAGAGATTTGATATTTCTTATTATCTATGAACATATTATTTCTCATCGTGGTTTTGTATGGTCATCGAAAATAGTATTAACTCAATCGAGTGAAAATTTAGATACAACAAACTAGAAATTGTACATCGTGGTGAAATATTGATTAGGGTACTATGATTTACTATTGTACTATAAGAAAGAAAACAGTTATACTAGAGTATAATAGATAGCTGTACAACTACTAATGGAGAGGATTAGATAAAACTTCAACAAACATGTAATATAGTAAGCTCTTAAGAGTTGAATGTCGTTACTAACAAGTAACAATAGTGCAATAAACAAGTGAGGAGAGTACCGTTTAGATTAGATTATTTTATTGCAATAGCATAAAAACATATTTTTGTAAAAGATGAATATTTGAAAAATATATTTGTACCTTCGTTAAAACGTATTATGTGTGATTTATTTGGCGTTAACAGACTATGCTATAACAGTCCTGAAGACAATATTTTTTTGTATTGTGTATTATAAAACATTCCTATGGAATTGAATTATTTGACTTTGTGTTTGGTACGTTGGCAACGCATAGCGTAGATATAAATCATTTCTACTGGAGAAGATTAAATTGACACTTTAATGCTGTCTTCCTATAGGACACCAATAAATGCATCCCGTTTTTGGCACGTAATATTGGGAAACGGTTATTGTTGTTGTTTTTCAAAATTGCTTTTTCACAATACCCAAAGAAAAAACCTATGCGCGGATTTTTATTTCTATGTGTATTTGAAAAATTGAAGCGAAATGAATAACCTTGTTGGTGACAGCCATATGTCGTTGTCAACACGTTATATTTTTTTTCATTCTATAGACATTTCGTTATTGATTAAGCTGGTTAATTGAAAAGCCTAGGCACACTTGGAGTTTTAGTCCATTCAGCTTGTGCATGAATTTTTTTTCTTTCTACGTTTCAAAAATTTGGCGATTACCGAATTAATCGCGTTAAATAATTCTTTAAAACTCACGTCAATGCTCTGTTGTAAAACAGATTTATTTGGAAAATATGATTTAATATGGGCGACCTCATTCAAATTCTGACACATGCACAGAAAAGCATAAATTATTATTGTACATTAAACTCTATACATATTTTACTCGGATAACGCGTGGGTTTTTATTAAATACGAATATAAACGTTACGTTTTCATTAAAAGTATTACCGTTTTTAATAATTAATAATACTGACAAATTTATTAATATGATCCATATTGTGACTACAGCTGTAATTAACTAAAGGGCGTAATTAATATATGTTTTTTCATTTGTATAAACGATCGTATTTTAGTTGTTGTTTTTTTTTAAAACTATTATTACGGTTTAAGCATAAATAGTTATTTTGACTTTTACATTGCAAATTACAACCAAAACCAACAAAATAAGAAAATAACACAAAAACATTCATATTTTTTTATAAAGTCAATAAAAACTTTAGAAATATCAAAAATAATATTGTTATAATAATAATAATCATACAAAAAATATAAATAAACAAAACGGAGGCACTGAGTATGATATTACGGTTGTATATCCCGTATGTTGTACGGTATAGGTAATCTGAACTTTAAAATCTATATTTTTGAAGTCGATGTGTGTGTGAGTGTGTGTGTGTGTGTGTGTGTGTGTGTATGTGTTTGTATTTACATAAACTTTTCAAAACTTATATACTACGGGAGTGTATATATATATATATATATATATATATATATTATATATATATATATGTATATATATATATATATATATATATATATATATATTTAATTCTGTTTCAATAATGTCATGGAATCCTAGTTTATCTCTATGGCAATACTGCTCGTGCGTACGGTGTTTTCTTTCAATATATGGCGCTACATAGGTAGTCCCAAATGAGGTTAAAGCGGTACAACGAAAACTGTATACACAGCAGGTGCAAGGATTACGACCAATCGAATACGAAGTAAGGCCGCATCTATATAAACATAATGTGCATGTATTTGACTTTGGAATTTTCCCTCAAGTGGTATATAAAGTAGGTACTTAGGATTTTGCCGCACCTGGGATCTGTAACTATACTATAACGTCGGAAAAATCCGATGAAATATGTCGAGAAATAATTTCTGAAACAAGACGTCATTCTAAAATATAATATATCCAAAAAGAAGATTACATTGAAATTCGATTGCTCCGAAATGTAAACTGATAAGATCATTTGGAATAGATTTACGTTTTTTTTCAATAAAATATAATGTAATGCACCAATAGATTTTACAGCTGATGTTAAAAAGTCAAATATAAATTGGTTTTTTTATTTTCTATTTTTTTTGTACATCTTTATATAATTGAAATAAACTTAGTTTTTGAATAATGATTTAGTAACGCGACATCGTTAACTATAAAAAATTGTACATTACAAATTATTTTTATACATTTTTTTTCAAAGAATGAAATAAAAATAATAGTACCATTTTATTTATATTTTTTTTTTTGTTGCTAATAACTGGCCGTATGTTATCGAATCACCTTTCCAACGTACCAGACGATATAAAGTTTTTTCTTTCTACTGAACATCAGCTGGGGACGAAGGTTTATTGTTGTATTATTTTTACTCTTAAATTAATACAGAGGGTCGCAAAACGATGTGCGTATAAAGATGAGACAGATTATTTTTTACCACCTTGACCTGAAAAGGCTAAAATGTGATATTTTATTATTGAAAGCGCGCACCGTGTAAAAGAGATGGAAGTCAATAACCTATAGCCGTCGTGGTCAAAGATAAAGTGACCACAATTTCGGACGCTATACCCAATATAAAACGATGATGCGTTAAGTTCAGGAACATGACACATAAAATATGGTTATATGACATCACACATGTTTTCAAAATGGCGTCCACGTCGATACGCCTATAATAATACCATGTATACTATTCTTTGTTACAAATACGAATCCATCGGTTAAGTACTTGTAATTTATATACAGGGAGATTGGTTAACTATGAACCAGTCAATATCATAAAATACAATAGACTTTTTTAAATTGTTTTCATAATTTTATAGTTATTACTTAAACCAAATGATAATATTATATTTTCCAACAAAATAGTCCCATCAAAAACCTATGAAATTAAGTTTCTTAAAGGACATTTCTTCTTAGCACGATGGTTAGTATAGTAAGCTGTAAATAATTCAATCTACCAATCAAATTATAATAATAATGATTTACATGACGTAATAACTTATACCTATTGTAGTAATAATTTTTTAAAAATAATTTTGTAAAATGTGTCTACAACATTTTATTAAAATAGCGTTGTATATTTTTAAGTTATGAGTGTCACTGTATTACTATTGTATCAACAACTTGTGAATAATTATACAATAAATTAAAAAGAAAACAATAAGTTTACAATCTACAGTTCCTTTGTTCATATATATTATATAAGCATAGTTTTTTTTTTTAAAAACAATGTCGTTCTCAAACATTGACTACAAAACGTTAACGGCTGTGTAAAAAGCCGTCATACTTTTTTCATATAGACAAATATTACAGTTATTTTAATTAGTAAAAATATTTATTTTAGTTAATTCCGGTTGTAAAGCAAATACAAAACGTTTCATCTGTAAGTGTAATACAAAGAAGTGAATTACTTTTCACCGTGCCCACATTTATTGCAATGACTTTTTTTAATGAAGTAAAACTCCTTATCCCGCACTTACAGAATATTCAAGTTTCTCGACAAAATTTATAATCTTGCGTTAAATAAAAAAACACTGCTAATATAAAGAAAAAAAAACAAAATTAAAACTCCACAGAATTCGAAGAACACGAATATTGTTGTCATTTTTTATTTGACTCGTGTATCTAAAAATATTGTTCAAAAATAATATGTATATAATTTCGCGTGTTTTTTTTTATAATGTACTTAGTGTCGTAGTGCGAAGACAAAATCTACCACGATGCCGTTCAAAAAGAGATTATGTTAATTTGCTTTTTCATTAAATAAAAGCAATTTTTGTTTTTAGTTTTAACAACTTTTTAAGCAAATTCTTACAACAAAACTACGTTCATATAATATGTATAGCATAGGAAAAGTTTTAATGACGTTTAAGATTTAATAGCATATAGCTATATAGTATAAATTGGATTTTCTTTTTTTAGTAGATATATTGCAAATTTAACATTTGATAGCGATGAATTTAATATCAATGTATAGTTTACAGATGAACTGAAAATAATGGTATACAGGCGTTATAGGCAAATTTACAATTTGCTTGTACTTCTATTGTAATCGATCATTAATAAACGGTTCATTAAATA